GGGGTGAGAGATAGCTAATGAAATATGCAGGGCGCACTTCAATTTTTTACAGCTCTTTTGATATCTTTTTCTGCTCGCGAGAATAAAAGATGGCGAAGGAGATAAATCGACGCCGAGTCGTTCTGTTCGCCCGTCTCGTCGCGGAATATGATGATGCATTATGCACTCTCTAACGTCGGCGGCGGCTTTTCCTCCTCTTTCCCTTTGCAAAGGCCGCTTTACGAGCGTTTTGTTTCCGCCGCTAGGAATTGCAGAGTGTGCGTTTTTATTATATTATAAATGCGCACAATCCCACCGCATGCACAACGTGTGCATTTTGACGTTTAACACCCTCCTAAATCTATCATCTGCTGCCACTTAATGCGGACGAAGGGAGCGATAATGCTTCTTTTTCTTTAAAAGTGCGTTCTATTGATCCAAAGAGATTTATTTGCATCGCGTCAGGAGACAGAAGTATGCTGTAAAAAATGGCAGCTAGATTTATTTTCCTTAAACAGGGTAAAAATGATTAAAAAGTAAAAATCAAGAAAACCGAATAGTTATAGCATTACACAAAAGCGGAACTTAAATTGAAAATAAAGCACGCGTGGTTCGTTTTTCCAGCATTTCCAAAACATTTTGACATCAGTGAGACATCACCGAAAGCACCACTATTGCATTAGGAAATAATTATCCAGTAATTTTGAAGAAAAACTTAATGTAATTAAATAATCAGATACAATTTTTTGATTAAAATGTAACGTAAGAAAAGAGTTTAATATTGTTTTTCACGGTTTTTCACATTATATATTAGAAACAAATTTCAGAAAAAAAGGAACGAAATTATTCACGCTGTCTGAACTTTCGCTGCCTAGACAAAATTCAGTAGTGACAATACAGAAACTGGTAAGACATCCATTCTCAATAAAAATTTGTCAAGGCATGGAATAATGTGTATATGCAACCCGCGCTGTACGAAAGATGTGCGGGCGAGTATCTTTGATTGTCCAAGGCGTTAAGAGAAGGTTTTTGGATTTTTGTGGAGAGAAGAATAAAACAGTAATGGAAGAATTAAATTTCCCACTCACATATCTATTTTGCCTATTTTGACAAACTTGCACCTTACAAAATTATATTTCAAAAAGCTCATGTTGAACCACAGCATCATGTTCCACACAGTATAAAAAGGGGTAATGTTATAGTACGCGCGACGTGTTTTTTCATAAGTTGGCAGCACTTATGCTCCCATGTAAAAGTATCACGTCGCGCGTTCGATAGTGGTTTTACGTCGCGCATACAATAATGGTTTTACGTCGCGCGTACAATACTGGTGGCGGTGTAATTTTTAAGGAAACCGATTTTATTTCCCGATCACCACGGAAACCTCTATAGCATGCGCGACGCAATTCTTTTCCTACAATCTTAATTAAGGGGACTGCTAGGAAGAATAGGGGCCCTTGGGATGGGTTCAGAATGGGGCAAGACGACCTCTGGAGGGCCGTGCGCACCCTTATAGCAGGCGCGACGTATCACTATGGGACGGTCGAAAAGCGAACTCTGGAGGGCGCTTTACACCATCGTCAGAGGCGCGACGCATGGTTATAGGACGCGCGACGCATGGTTATAGGACGCGCAACGCATGGTTATAGTACGCGCGACGCATGCTTATAGTACGCGCGACGCACGATTTTAGAAGGCACGACAAATTAATTATTACAAATGGTGTTACACGCGGCCGGAGTTGTGGGCACCCCACGAACCGGCAACTCGGAGGTGGGCAACTCGGAGGTGGGCAACCCCCAAGATTAATTTTTGCAGAAGCCGCGAGCGAGGGGTGGAGGCGCAGCGAGGTCGAGGACGTGGGGAAGGCCGTGCGGAGGGCGAGGACAAAAGGGCGGCTGTGTTCATGAGGGGGCTCCGCAGGAGCCCCCTCACGAACCCCGCCCTTTTGTCCCGCCCGGAGCCGGCCTTCACCACGTTCTCGGGCGAGCGCGCCTCCAGCCCGAAGCTCGCAAACCCACAACGGAGTTGCCCACAAAAGGTGTTGTCTGCAAAGGGAGTTGTGGGCACCACACTTTTTGCTTTCTAAGCCCTTTTTGCAGACAATTCCTTTTGTAAGCAACTCCGTTGTGGGTTTGCGAGCTTCGGGCTGGAGGCGCGCTCGCCCGAGAACGTGGTGAAGGCCGGCTCCGGGCGGGACAAAAGGGCGGGGTTCGTGAGGGGGCTCCTGCGGAGCCCCCTCATGAACACAGCCGCCCTTTTGTCCTCGCCCTCCGCACGGCCTTCCCCACGTCCTCGACCTCGCTGCGCCTCCACCCCTCGCTCGCGGCTTCTGCAAAAATTAATCTTGGGGGTTGCCCACCTCCGAGTTGCCGGTTCGTGGGGTGCCCACAACTCCGGCCGCGTGTAACACCATTTGTAATAATTAATTTGTCGTGCCTTCTAAAATCGTGCGTCGCGCGTACTATAAGCATGCGTCGCGCGTACTATAAGCATGCGTCGCGCGTACTATAAGCATGCGTCGCGCGTACTATAAGCATGCGTCGCGCGTACTATAAGCATGCGTCGCGCGTACTATAACCGTGCGTTGCGCGTCCTATAACCATGCGTCGCGCCTCTGACGATGGTGAAAAGCGCCCTCCAGAGTTCGCTTTTCGACCGTCCCATATTGATACGTCGCGCCTGCTATAAGGGTGCGCACGGCCCTCCAGAGGTCGTCTTGCCCCATTCTGAACCCATCCCAAGGGCCCCTATTCTTCCTAGCAGTCCCCTTAATTAAGATTGTAGGAAAATAATTGCGTCGCGCGTGCTATACATGTTGCCGAGGTATCGATGGAATAATCGGTTTCCTTAACAATTTCACCGCCACCAGTATTGAGCGCGCGACGTAAAACCATTATTGTATGCGCGACGTAAAACCACTATTAAACGCGCGACGTAATGCAAGTGATGCCAACTGAAATCAGGGATTTTGGGAAACACGTCGCGCGTACTATAACATTACCTAAAAAGGTAATAAAATTTGAAAGACACACTCTTATCTGATCAGTTATCTCAAAAGAAAAAAACGTTTTAAAAGATACTAAAAGAAAAATAATTAAGAATGCATTAACATCTGCAGCAATGAAAGAAAGCAGAAAAGAAACATGCTGATGACACACAAGACAGAAGAAAAGTGCGTGTTTGTGTGCGGTGCAGGAGTGAAACTTCCCAGTCGGCGCGTGTAATAATGATAATAATAATGGGAGCTCATCATAAAAGAGTTTATTACACGACGAGAGCTGCTCCGGAACGACGACATGCACGCAGTTGTGTCGAATCATAATAAGGTGCTTGCGGCTGGCGTGCGTGCGATGTAATGATGACACAGGGCGATGATGACGACTTTGGCCCCAATGAATCCTCCACACAGTGCGCGCCACGCAAAAAATAGGGAAAGAAAAACAAGATCGGGACGGAAGCAGTAAACACGACCGTAAAACGGCGCGCACCGCACCGCAACCTACGAGCGAGCACCCTTTAAAAAACACACACAGCACCCGAACAAACTCGGCACACTGACACGTTGACTTTTGATTCCGTCTAAGGTTCGGGCTGGGATTGAAATATTATAATGATTACTTTAACCAAGAAATTTTTAATTTATTATTTTTAGGGGAAAAAATACTTTATAGATAAAAAATTATCAGGAAAACTTTTCATTATTTTATTTTTAAATTGTTCAGCTGAATTTCGTTGCATATTTTTCCATATTTTACTAAGTCCTTGATGAAAACCGCGTCACTTTATTTTTTATTTCTGTGAAGTTGACAAGTTATTTGTATGAAATAAAATTATTATAAGAATGTGGCTATTCTCAAATAATGCCATTTAATTTTATATTATATAACTTATTTTGAAACAAAAATTATTAATTATTTCTCTCATCCTTCTTATGATATGTATGTGTATTGGACAGTCCGTACCTTTTTTCTGTCTGCGAAAATCTGCCGGGTCAGAGTCGAGCCACGAGGGAGAAGGGCCTGAGAAAAAATGAGCGAGTCGCCACGCTCGTTACCCCTTGCTAGTGCGCACATCACGCCTTTTGGCTTTTGCTAACAACTGACCCTTGGTCTGAATCTAAAACAAGTTTGTCCTGTACTTGCAAATGCTGTCCACGAACATATGTTTGGGTATTTTTGCCGCTATGTCTTCTCCTCTGACCTGCCGTTGTTTTGCAGTCAACATTGCCCCTTGGGCGTCTTTGCAGGATAAAAAAACCCAAATCATAATGTTGCTTTATATCAAGTATAAGAATATATGCTTGGTATAACAGCTTTTTTAAGTTCAAAATTCTAGCAAAATTCTGGGATACGCAAGCAATTTTAATACACATTGAAAAGTTCCAACAAAAAATATTAAATTAATCTACAGCAAACAAAAGTTGTTTCAGGTAAAAATGAATCTGGATATTTTCAGCTTTCAGCAAAGCTTGAGATCAATAGGATAAAAATGTGCAAAATTTAATGGTGCAAGCGGAAAAGTTGATCCAAGGGTAATAAATTTTCAATTTTAATAAAAGCCATTACACCAGAATTTATACTCCCCAATGGATAATTTATCTGATATTGATCTGATATTTTCCAGTTGAGCGGAAAATGTTATTAATTGTGATGATGACATTCGGCAGCAAACGGCCGGAGGAAAAATCGCCGTCATCGCCACAGCACTTTTCCAATTACTTGCTCTATGATTGTGCACATCAACTTCACATAAAAGACTGCTAACATAAGTCTTCACGACGCACCAATTATAAAATGCTTCTATCTGGAGCAGAGACGATGGAGTGATTGCAAGAGCTAGGTAAAGCAGACGGGTAACTGGCTGTTGGCCAACTTCGATCTTTCATGGTAAAAATGCAGAAAAAAATTAAATTAATCAAATTAGAAGAATATACTTTTGTGCGTTTAAATAATAATAAAAAAAGGAAAGAAATAGTTGATAATGATTTTAAGTACACAAAAATTAACTTTTTTTCCATGACAGAAATAATTGTAGTTTTATTTCTCCAAATTTTTACAAAACTTTTCTCAAAATGAAATTCTAGTTGGCACTATTTCCAAATTAAATGAGCATGCAAATCCAACATAATATTGGATTACATAGAGACATTTCTCTATTCAATAAGATCCACAGATAAAATAAAATTGCGCTCACAAGGCAGAGAGTAAAATTGCGTTTTTTTCTTACTTAATAACTAAGAATAAAAGTTTCTGTTGCGTCTAGTGGTCTCCAGTCTAGAGGAAGTAGAGCAGCTCCTCCAAAGCTGGCACTGGCTCACGATGCAGGTGTTGCCCAACTAGCTCACTGAGTTTGTGCGCATATTGCACTGGTGCTGGGACTTTAATTGTGCCCTGAAAAAATAATCACATAAATAAATTGTCTGGTTTCGGAAACCTTACTTTTAAAACTGTAGAAAATAATTTTAAATTTCAAAACAAAATTGACCATCTTTAAAGAAATACTCACACTCCAGTTGTAGTACAAGTGTGTCATCTTGTAAGTGAACCTTTGCATCTTGTCTGGATCAAGTCCAGAGTTGTCAAAGATGACATTGTATGAAGTAGGGGAGACAGTTCCTTGCCGCACTGACTGAGACACAAGGTAGAAATCATACCTTCCAGAAAAAATAATGAAAAATTAATTAAGGTACCATAATATATAATTATTTAATAAAAACCTTTCAGGCAGAGTAATGGCATCATCAACAACTGTTCCAGGAGGTGGATTTTGACGACTGTTTGTGAAGATTTTAGTGTTGAGGCGTTTGGAGACGATCACAAATGCCAGTTTGTAACTTGGACCTCCATAAATGGACTCAAGTGTGGCCTATTAGATATATAAAGATAAAAAATTATTTAAACAAGAATTAATAAATTTAAATTACTTTGATGATGCCCACTTCATCTTTGAGGACATACTCAATTTGTCCTTCTCCCACTCCATCCCTGTAGAAAATGATCCTGCTTGGCAGACTACCATCGTTGTAGGCCCTGAACTTGTCGATAGCCATTTTCATTGCTTGAGCCATATATTTGCTGATGTCCATTCCTTTATCATGGGTGAACGTCTTTGAGAAATATCTGTAAATTTGAAATTATAATCAAAATTAAAAATTCACAAAAATTATACCTTGAGAAGGAATTATTGAGGGTGGATACGAATGCCCCAACTGAGCACCTTTTGTTCATGGAGTCATGGGTGGCATCAAATCCGCACACCATGACACCTTTCATAGGATTGACACAAGTCCATGGGGCGCCTCCGACTTTGCAGTTCATCTGGATGCAGATTTTGGTTGCAATCGACATTGCACTTTTTGCAGTAATTGATTTCTTTGTGATGACTTGAGTGGGAACTAAGGGGTTAATTTTTATTAATAATAGAATTTTCAAGTACTTTTTGGCCTTGTATACCAGCTCGCTCAACACAACACTTCTTTTTGATGGCTGCATATCGGTCCGGCCTATTATTGGAGACCATGCAAACGAGGATGTCGGGCAGTTGGCGGCTCAAAATCTGTTCAATGGCATTAACGTAGGTTGCAATTGAGTCATCACGAATATCATGCACATAGGGCTCAGTAATATTCAAGCTCATTCCTCTGGCGGCCTGCAAGATCTGGTTGACAAACTGGCGCGCCTCACGAACCATAAAGCTTGGGATGATGACGACCCAACGCTCCATTCTACCAGCAGCAAGCATTTCATTGGCTGTGGAGAAAATTTTTGTATTTATATGCTGGAGCAAGATTAACAAATATTTTTCGTAATTAATTCTTTTATACCTCTTAACTTTTGGGTCCAATCGACATTTTGGCCACTTTCGTATCGAATCTCTCGGCCAGCAGATCCTTGGACAATGGTTTCCATTGGAATGATCCGTCCCTGGATCGATTTCAACTCTGGCCTGAACTCCATATCAAATTTTTTCAGTTCGGCAATGATCTAAATTTATATGATATATATTAATAAATATATCGATTTAAGAAAAAAAAAATTAAAATTAAAAAAAAAATTATAATCCTACTTCTGGTTTTTCCACAAGTCTCCTCCCAAAGGTCAGTAAGGCATCAATTCTCTTCTGAGGTTCCATTCTTGTGAACTGAGCAATCGAGGACATCAGTTTGTAGTTGCTCCTCATTTCATCAGTCAAACCAGTCATTCTACATAATTCTGGAATGAGGTAAACCGAGCTTTCAGGATCTCCTGGGGCATTTGACTTCACTCGAGACACAAGGAGTGGTTGATGTGTGTTTCTAATAACAATCTGGTATTTCTGAAAAAGTTTTAAAACAATTATTTTTCAAGAGCTATGCATATTTAAACAATAAAATTACCGTCTTATAGTATTCGACGAAAGTTGTCATGTTTCCCCCTCGCAAGGAAAACTGCGACAGAGGATTAACCTCAAAGTCAATGTCATCCACTCTATAAGTTCTGTTGTTATAATCAGTCATAACAACAACCCCAAGAATGGCCTGCTTCAGCGGCTCGACAAATCCAGAGCCGTATTGTTGGTGCAACCTTTCGAAAATGTTGAGAACAGTTTCCTTGCGTAAAACCTTACAAGTAATTGCAGAGCTTAAGAGAAGCTGAGACTCGTGCTGTCTGATAGAGGTGGTATATCCAGGCCAGAGTTCTAACCCAAAATCTTCGATCATGATCTAAAAATTTGAATAATTAAATTTGGAAAAGTTAAAAAAATAACATTTACCTTGGCCTGGGGATCGTAAAAATCTCGACCCAATCTGGTAAGTCCCATCAAACTCAAGCACCTTCTTGCCAAGATGTTCAGCAGTTGATTGAAGTTATTGGAAGTATTATGCACTTCTTTAACAGCGGTCACGCTGATTGTGATTTGCTCTCCATTAGTATTTATAGCAGAAAGAATGAGAGGCTAAAAAAAGCAAGTTAATTTTTAATTTAAATTAAGGGCACTATAATAGAATCACAAAATTTAAATACCGATCAATGTTGAATATTGATAATCCTTTGCTTTTCTGTATACTTTTTAATTGATAATTCATGCACACAAAATGTGATGAAGACAAATAAAAGCGATTAATTAATTGAAGTGAATCACCAACGTTACCTAGGAAAAAACATAACTGATTTTGCCAGTTTATGGTCGCACCAGTAATTTTATTCTAATTTTAAAATAAATATTTGTAAATATTTGAAGTTAATTTAGCTTTAATTAAACTCCTTCATAATGTATTTTTGTACTTACATCAGCTTGGTACTTAAAAGTACTGAAGAGAGTAGCACCATCAAATACATAACCTCTCAATGTTGGCATGTGCAATTTTAGCATGAACTTCCGCTCGCCAATTCTGTCCACCTCAGGTGTAAAACTCACAAAGTATTGGTAAAAGGTGAAATCTGGGGTGCGGCTAAGCTCAAAGTAGTTTGATAGCAAATTGATTGGATGTCCAGTTGTTCCTTAAAAATTAAATAAAATTAAGTCACTATACACAAAAGTTACTATTTAAAAGAAAATTGCCTCTCTTGTTCTGAACACATCTTGTTGATGACACAGAATCCTCAACTTTAACTCTAGCTAAAGCTGGGGGCTGCTGAATGGTCTGCAGTCTTGGTTGGACACTTGCGCGGCCCCGACCTCTACTTGATTCAGCTTGAGCCTGAATAATTTCAAGTATATCAAGTTCATTTTAATATCAGAGGGGTTAATTTTATTTCCTTACTATTGCTGGTTGATGGATAATTGCTTGTTGTGGAGAAGTTACGCCAGGCGCTTGGGCAGCAGATGATTCTTCAGACACGATGACCCTTCCTCTTGCTCGACCTCGAGCACGTCCACGGGGAGACTCCATCATTCAATTAGTGAAAGCCAAGAGGGAAAGGGTGTGAGACCTGAAAGCTATTAAATTTGTACTATATATTTTATACAAACATTATTTATTGACTCTTATAATATGAATAAATTTTATGAAGATCATTATTTCAAGAGAATAATGTTACAATGTAATATATACAGGACACAGGACAAGAATTGGATTGTAACTTGAAACTGCGGTGTTTATCGGTATGTAACTGACATTTTAAATTCATATAATTATTGTACTCAAAACTTTACAAACGGTCAATTTTGGTGGCTATATATTTACAAAGAGGCAGGAAATTTAACGTCCTGTTATTTGCTATTTTCTGTATACACACCTTTCTCGTCAATTCTCAATGATGCTCAGAATTAAATCAGTCGTCTGTTATCTTTGGTTGCAACTGCCTCACTACTCACTACTATTACTTTGCTATATGATCCACGCGCAGTCTATGTTCCTGCTTCTGCTCTCTCCTGTGTCCTGTTACTGTCGCGGCCTGTTGAAACTTGAAACTTTTCTTCCGCTCCTCTCCGATCTTTCTCTCGGTGAATAAGCTGGACAGGAATGTGAAATGGTCGAATTGCAGCAGTCAACCGCACATTGCAATGCCGAGGAATTACAACAATGACATGGTCAGCAGATCAGAAAATCTGAGCCTGTCACGCTGTTGCCTGCAAATTCTTGTTGCTGCAGCGGCAGTTGGTGGCAAAAATTCTCCCTACTCCCGTGCAGTGAAGGCCAAGGTCGAGAGTCGAGACTCAAGAGCGGATAGAGGGGCAGTTTTGGTTTGGAATGCGGTCTGCGGAGGAACCGGAAAATACCAGTGGGGTATGTAGAACACTTTTTATTTTGAATTTTGGATCTGTGGAGGTTTGGAGCAAAATTGCAAACTAATCATGCAAGAATTCCGAGTTATTGTAATGATTGATTGAGAAATTAATCAAATATAACTAAACGGTAACGACCGCTCACTTTTCTCATTATTTTACGATTATTTTTGCATTATTATTATGATATTCATAATTTTTACGGTGTTATTATTCTACACTTGACGTATATTATGATCAAAATAATAATAATTAAGCTTTTTTGCATATAATTTAATTTATCTACAAATAAGTTAACATTTTATTTCTTCACAACATCAACAAACACGCTAAAAATTGTGGCTGCTGTTTAGGCAAGGATTCTGTTTTGATTTTGAATTAGACCACAGTGGATACTGCAAATCATAATAATTCATTTCTTCCCTGTGTTAATGAATTTTGCGTTGTAGCTTAAAACGCCAAGCTGACGGAAAACATCAAAAAAGGATTTCTCCATCCCATACTGTATCGCTGATATTTATCATTTTCTCATTTTTCTTTGCACTGAGGTTCGTCCGGTTTCAATTTCTCATAATTACTAATATACATATTTGCATTATATACAAATTTCTTTAAATTTGATATTTTTACTTGCACCGCTCACGGCGACGAAAGTCTTTGTGAACTTGTTTATTAAAATTCTTGCCGTTTTATCCAGCAATTTGATGTTCCCAAACAATTAAAAAATTTTCTTAACTATGTTCAAGTTTGTATAACAGATGGAAAAATAAATTATTCTTAGACAGCTTTTTTATTATATAATTATTCTAATTGAAAAAATGTTGCAAATGAACTAGTCAGACATAAAGAAGCAAAGCAAATAAAACTCACGATTATGGAAAACTCACACCGCACATATATTTTCTTCACTTTCTTCTCGCACGGGAGAAAAAATAATAAAAATGTAAATCCGCCCATGCAACTTTTCACGCTGTTACATATTTTCGGAGCGTTATGGGCGGCGCGCGTGTGCGGCCAGGCCCAGGCTGATTATTATTATTATTTTTGTTCTCTCGCGAACCGAAAGAGCTGGTTGGCAAAATGTTTTCGGTCTGGTTATGTGAAGCTGTTCGTAATATAGACTGTGGCGAAAAATGAATGTATGCATTTCGCGGAATGGCAGCTTGGGGAATATGGGAGTTGGCTCCGGGTTCGGTCGGTTTGGCGTGTGTTTCGAGTACATAAGATGTCAAGTACGCTCCCAATGACTCTTATCAGCTTTTCTTGCCTCGCTCCGTGTATACTCAACACGGCAGTAAAACTGCTTTCTATAGAATAGACCGGGGAAAAAAGGGAGGAACGAAGGAACACGCGCTGGGCATGATAACCGAAAAAGAAAGAAGGCATCAAGAAAAGTCAGCCAGCCAAACGAGAGGATCCATAATTCTTACTGAGAATGTAGAACGATCTGAACGATGGATGGATGGGTATGGGGAAGTGCAAAACGAGGATGTAAACAATAACATTTTTTTTTAATTTATAAAAAAATAAATTAATTCAATCGTGAGTATAAAAACATAAATACGAAATCAGTCACAATAATAATTTGTGAATAAAGAATTAATTAATAACAATTTTAATTATACATCTCTAATTATTAGAGCATTTTGAAAAATATAAACTTGTTTGGTGAAGCAATAGGAATTGCACATATCTGAAATACGAGTGCGAAAATCAGTCTTAGTGCAATTGAAATGCTGAAAATTTCAAATTTTGTAAGTTTACTGAATGTCAATTCAATGATAATTGATAGCATACTTAAAACAGAAATAAAAATTTTGAAAATTATCTTTTAAATTCTGCTTCTTTGAATAAATAAATTTTTCACTGCCCTGAATGTAACAACCTACATAAGCCTTGAGCAAATAGTAAAACGCATCAGGCGCATTTGCTTCCTTTTATCTCTCTGCGATGTTCACTCGCATCAAACAAGTGCGCTTATTTATTCGTATCTTTAGCTCCATTCTGTCGCAAAAAGGGCTCCTGATTTTCCTGCTTTCTGCCCTTGAGGATCGCGTTTCTTGCACTCCCTGGTAAATCACGCATATCAAGAGACAAGTCGGCTGCCTCATTACACGACAAGCTTTTTGAAAAGTGTCACATTTCCAAGTTTTCCCTACCGGCTGCTCTTTTTTACTAATAAATCAATATTTTTGCCACAAATTTCCAATTATTAAAGAAAGATAGTATCAATTTACAAACCTGTTCAGCTATATTATCAGCTGTAAATTATTTGACCTTTTTGTTTAAAATCAGTTTCTGAAAATGCCTAACAGAAATAATAAGTTTCTAAAGGAGGGGCGTGTTAATTTTAATTTGTCCATCCATGTATGTTTACTGCGACAGTTAAATAATATATTTTATTGCATGCTGAAATTGATTGTATTTTTTCTAAGTCTCTCAAAATGAATTAATGGTTCTTTCCTTTAAATTAAGGTAAATATTATACAGAGCCAATCAATAATAAATCGATTGCGTTGGAAGAGGGAAGTATCCGAACGGTAACATCTGCGCCTCTCTCCTTTCCTTTATAATTAACAGTTGCGCAAGTCAGTGCAGTTGATGCTGCAAGTGAAAAGCCAAAGCTGGTCTTCGCCGTCTAGTGAGGAGTATAAAATCGTGTTGGTGAAATGCAGGTGACTAATGGCGCCGACGAGATTTATGATTATTACGCCACTCGCCTCTGATTATGAGCGCTACTGATGTCAAGTGCCACGAGCACTCTCGCACACATGCAGAAAAAAGCTCACGAGCGAGTGGCTCGTGGTCTCGATTCAAACGAACGAGTTGCACATAAATGCCACAAATGGAGGCTGTGTAGCAATTCAAATACATTTTGTACTTCATCCCCTCGGTGATGCAACGAAGTCATAGTTATTAAAAAGTCTAAAATACACACTGCGATGAAATGTATGTATTTAAGCTCAGTCAGTATTTTTATTACTCAAAAAACAGACAAATCAGTTGCGTTTGTTTCTTTTGCAATAACTATTAATAATGAGAACAATCAAAAAATTTTACTTAGCCCAGACTAAATTAGTCCCCCATTCAAATTGCATGGCAGGTTTAATTAAGCTAATGGGCCAGATTAGGCTTTTCGATAATCTTTGAAAGCAAGTTATGTAGTTCATTATTGTAATACAAAATTTTTCAACGAGCTAATTAGATATCAATAATTAATAATGTATTGTTCAACAAAGACTAAATTTCAACAACGAATTATATTTTTACAAGTTTTTTTTTCTCAAAATAAATATTTTTTGATGGATTTTTCAGATGGACGATTAATGAATTAAAATAACAAGCACCGAGGCTCAAATTTCCCTCGACTGCTTTTTAATTAAATCTGGCGGTCTCGTTCAAATACGAAATTCTCAATTTCAAAGAGTTCAAAGCATCCCTGTGGACCTCTAACTATCAAGATTTCTTTCTGCAAAATGAGCAGCCCACGCGGCTCGACGAACGCTTTTTCTCTCTTGCGGCACAAACACGCGTCACTCACCCATCTCCGGTGCGTAGAAAAAAGCGCAGCAAAGCGGGCGAGCTAATTCAACGCGAAATTCGGCAAAAAAAGTTTGATGGATGATTATATTTTGTCGGCGGGCGGCTGAATAAGCTCCTCGTCGGCAACATGCGTGCACCACAAATGTATGCGATAAAATTCTTTTCACAGAACTCTCTCGCATAGGCCGCTTTTTTTCCGTGAATTTATGAAAAGCAGCCGGTTGCGATACTATCATCGGTGGAGCGTCTCGTGCATTAATACAGAGAGCGGACGCCGGTACGGGGTATTATTGATAATCTGTCATGCTGGCTATTAAAAGTTTTATCATCACGTTAATGGTCCCGGCAGCCGCATAAATTCGATACTGCCCATATCATGCGGGGATCGCTGTTTTCCAAATGCGTATCAAACGAAAAGCCCTTTCGCACCAAATACACTGACAAATGCGATCTCGTTTAATTCAAATCCTATAAACTTCATCCTAAATCTCATGAAAATAGCCAAAATAAAATTCGATTTTTCAGACATCCACTTTAATCAACCTAAATCCTAAAAGGAGAAAAACACATTCTAGCAGTGTCTGATTTTTCCCTTTTTGTATTAAATTTGACGTTGCGATGGAAATCTGTTCGAGCGTATTAGTGTGCTGACTATAGTGATGATCAGTATCATTCTGCTTGAAGTTGTTTTTGTAGGGATCCAAGTTTTAATAAAACGAGACACTATTGACGGGAACTGTAAGCCAATTCCAGCGAAAAGCCGATCTCATTTTTGAAATTCGATAACGCGTCTGACACAAAACATGCAACAAAGGGTAAATGCACGTCGACAGTCCGTGCCTGTCTCTGGCCGTGGACGTTGTTAGTTGTGACCCGTCTATACCACCGAGCTAAAGGATTAAACGCACAGTAGCGTGCAGCAAAAGATGTCGATAAACTGCTTAACTATAGTTAAATGCAATTTCACATAACATCAAATATGTTGGTAAAAAAGTTTTGATTACTTTTTATTTGATGGAATAAATTTATGAAAAGTAGCAAAAGAATAAAATTTTATTGTTGTCTTATTTTTTTCATTTTTTAATATCCTCAGATTAATTACATTTCTCATAAAATATGAGAGATTC